CAGGGGCAGGGGCAGGGGCAGGAACAGGGGCAGGGACAGGGACAGGGACAGGAAGTGGAGGGAAACCAAGTGGATCAGCTGGTGCCGGAGCTGGGTCTGGTGGATTACCAAAGGGGAAAAAAGTTAAAACCTATCCCATCAAAATCAATGTGAAGAACCAGCCTGAGGGGCCACGTTTTGATCCCAAAGTCAAAGCTATTCCCATCTCAGAAGGAGACTCCTTCGACTTTGATGATGTTATTGCCAGCTACCCTGCAATCGATGGAGACACTGGAAAACCAGCTGAGAATGTCAGGTCAGCGCATACACAAACACACATAAAGACTATACTGATAAACTATAAAATCAGTTTTACTTTCTGTGCACAATAATAATAACTGACACATCCTATTTCTGTTGTAGGTATGCCAAGGGCTCAGACCCTGACAACTGGTTCACCATCGACCCAAAGACAGCTGAGATCAGACTGAACAAGATTCCTGACAGAGAATCTCCAGTCCTGGTCAATGGGACATATATCGCGAAAGTACTCTGCATAACAGACGGTAAACTCTTCCACTGTGTACTTGCACTTGCTTCAAATGTTTTACATATCAGAGCAGCACTCTCAGCAAAATGTTGCTGTGGAAAGGTAGTGTAAGTGCTGCTACTAGATTCAACAGGCACTGTTTACACACTTTATGCCTAAATATTAAAGACCAAACCAGTGATGAATCTAAAACAGAGACAATTTATTGCCAAAAGTACAGCCTTGCCAAGAGTAGAACTACAAATGAAAACTTTACTGAGGCAGACTCTTAAGTAAAAGCTGTGTTGTCATTAAAATCACACAATATTGTCACCTTGGGAGCATATGTGAAACATTTATTGAACTTTGCAATAGGTTTTATCATCTGGACTGTGGGAAAAATGTTTGCTCAAATGGGTTTTGAATATTTATGTAGAGGTATTATACAATCTAACCGATATTCGATAAGCAAAATATTTAGATCAGATCAATATAATAAAGCAGCACATGACACACCTCTTGCTGTGCAGCCAAGGAGAGCTTTGTGAATGATTAGGGAAATTATTTAAACTGAAGATTATTTATAAAAGTTCGGTAGCTGGAATCTATACAAGTTAGGGACCAAAATGTGAACAAGAAAACAGTGGAGACACTATACTTACATTTATGTACATTTAATAAACTAACCACGTTTATTAGCTAACAATAGTGACTAATTATGGCACAACAATAACACACATTAAGACAAACAACAACACAAAACAAACAAATGTGAGTGAAGGAGAAAGAAAGAGAACCCAATATTACAATGTAATATTGGGATAAATATTATTGTGTGACATGAGGTTGTGAGAAGAAAGGAGGAATAGACCACACCTGAAAGCAGCCGTTAATTTGATGGTTTGCTAGTTGGAAACTTATAGGAATTTATGTTTGGTGATAAAATAGTATTTAGAGAGTTGCACCAAGTTTTAGTGACAAAGAGTTACTTGCGTGCTCGTCATGATGCTGCAGCGGTGCTTCTGCTGATGGGTAGTCTTCGGGTCGGCCTGTTAATGCGGGTCCAAACAGCAGTGGACAGAGTGGAGCCCCCAATTCCATCTTGAGGAACTTGAGTAGAACTCAGGAAATATTCTTAGAAAGGAGAACTCCTGAGAAGAAGGTCTCAGGAAATACTCAAGGAGGACTCTTAGAAAGGAGGACTCTACGACGACTCTGTGGAAGGAGGACTCAAAGTGGTGCTTTCAGGTATGGTCTTTTAAGGGGGAGTTTTGCATGTCATTAACTCGGGAAGGGGCCTGGCACAGCCTCCATTGGGGAGGGCTTATGTCCACATGTCCCTCATAGAGTTACACGTTCAGATATTTTTGTGGTTAATCGAATTTCAAAATAGTCCAATACTGTGACACATAATTTCTATATTTGTACTTCTGGTAGACAGAGGATCAAAACAAGACTAAACACAGATATGACATTAGATGTTGTTAAACTTATAGTTTGACACCTAAACAAATAAAATAAAAGATTTAAGGAGAGCGCATGGTGTGATTGATCATAATGAGGTTATTGATAGCACTATTTTCAGCAGTTCCTTAAATGAGTAATCATAAAGAATGGTTTAGTCCAAGTCGTAGAAGAATTGTCTGTCTTTGTCCTAATGTGAGTTCAGTGTTCCTTGTGTCATTGTTGGTGGGAGTAAAGTCCTTTTGATGTTGATATCAAGATTGTGACCTCCACGTCCTGCAAGGTTCAAACCATAGACTGTATAAAAGATGGACGTAGCAACCGGCCCTGAAAAATGAAGCCAACCCGGAAGTGTCAAAAACCTGCAATATCACTACGTTCGCTAGTCCTGGCTCCAAAAAGCTCTGGCTCCCATTGAAATGAATTGGAAAAGAAGTGATCACAGATCACGAAATACCGCATTCTTCCAGCTCAGGATTTTGTTTTTATTAGTTTTCATGGTCAAGTCCAGAGATCAGGTGGCCAATCTGAAAATAAATCAATACTGAATTTTTTAAAAATCGTCAAAATTTTGCGGGGCAAGGGGCGTGGCTGGCTTGATTGACAGTCGGCAGCGACCATACAGATGAAGCGAGCAGAAGGCGGTAAATGTGGGCGGGCAGAGAGGGCCTGCCTCTCAATCCGTCTGACCAATCGCTGCTCCTATGGCTCCGCCCCCCTCCAACGATTTTTGTGTCACTGGCTCCAAAAATCCAAGATGTCAACCAGGAAGTAGCAAAACCCTGGCTTCATTTTCTCAGTGCAGAAAACAACGGGTGACGTCATGGTAGCTACGTCCATCTTTTATACAGTCTGTGGTTCAAATCCGGTCAGAGTATTCCAGAGACACAGGCCAGAGAGACTGGAGGTTTGAACCAGTCACTTGGTTAAACTGAGCTCAGTCCACATTGTAAAGATAATGTACCTTTAGTGGTACCAGGCATTAAAATGAACAAGATATTGAAGAAAACAAGGGTGGTCTAATAATATTCCCATGACTGTATATTCTACAATTTCATTTAGCAGATGCTTTTATCCAAAGCGACGTACATCTGAGAGCAGATACAACACAAGCAAGGATCTAGTCAGGAGAAAACAATCTAGATAAGTGCCATACAGTATATATACATCGTATATATACAGTGCTTAACAAATTAGACAAGTGGTTTAATAACTTTGTTAAACACTGTACCCTGCCTTTACCCTGAATCAGCTGGGATAGGCTCCAGCCCCCCTGCAACCCCATAGAGGTTGAAGCAGTGTATAGATATTGGATGGCATGGAAGCTAAGGTTGTGTGACTTACCTTCATTAATGTAAAGTGAAACAGTTGGGGAGGGGGGAACAAAACTAAATAACGTAATGTAAAATCGACGCCAACACAATAAGTTACTGTTTGTTTGTGGTCAAAGAGTAAAAATGACACAGTACAGAGTACAGTCCTCCAGTCAACTTCATGTAAATAGAGAGAGGGGAAAAAATGCTTCACTGTCAATCCACACATGTGGGAAAGAGAAATGTCTGTTCCTGTACTGTCTCTGAAAACTAAAAAAGATAAGCAAAAGAAAATTCTGAATGATATGTTCTTATTTCTGTTTTTCCATCACAGATATGCCAGCTAAAACAGCCACCGGCACGATAGCCATCCAAGTGGAAGATTTTAATGACCACTGTCCTATCCTAACGAGTAACACCCAGACAATATGTACCACAGCGGATACTGTTATTGTCAACGCTAATGATGAAGATGTGTACCCTAATGGACCTCCTTTTGACTTTGTCATTGTCCCAGAAGGCACAAAGGGAAAATGGCAAGTGGATTATCTCAATGGTGAGGAGAATACTACTGTCACTCCTGGAACAACATTGTACTGGGGGACATGTGCAATAAAAATTATGCAGCTTATGGCAATGAATAGTGTTAAACACTGTACCAATACTAGAAAGGTATCCTATGTGGTAACTTTGTGAACAACCATATACCCACCATGCCTTCTCCTTCTTCTTTTGCTTCTGCTTCTTCTTCTACTGTGTAAATCTGACAGTTGCTCGCATAGTGATGTTTGTTCTAAGAGCGCAGGTTAAGAAGGACGTGATATTGTGCCTAAAGTTAATTTTGAAATTACTTTGTCAGATGCCTTTGTCATTTTTATTGCAATATGGCCAAAGCATGCCCATACAAGTATGCGAAAATGAAAATGCAAATGGGGTTATTGCATTTTTATTTTCATTGTTACCCAAGAAACACATAAGTAGAGTATATACATTTTACTGTTGTATAGTATTGTGGGATTACATTTTCATTTTTAAATTTAAATCAACAAGTCTCACATGTCCCCAGAATGCTTCTTTCAGTTTTTATCTCAAAATACCGCAAAGATGGTTAATTTCACCATAATTGTTTAACCCTTTATTTTAGCCGTGTTCTACCAGGACAGTTTTTAGCTTTAAATGCAGCTGAGCTGCTATCGTCCCTACCCTGTTTAGGAAGAAGACTATCTGCTGCAGTGATTGACAGTGCAGAGCAAAACAGTTGACTGCATGGCAGCTGATACGGATGTATATAAATACACTGAAGCACAACAGACAACATGAAGAACAGCATGGTTTTACTGTCCACTGTGGATAGAAGTTTTTAACATGTATTTTAACTCACCTGGTTTGGTAACACTGGGAGCTCCAGTCTGTAAAAAGAGCTTAAGATGGTGTTTATGGTGGAAAAAAGTTTTAGTCAATAGGGAATGCTCAGGAACATGAGGTCCATTGTCCACTATCGCTACACCACTTAATCCTCACTAGGGTCGTGGGGGGCTGGAGTCTATCCCAGATGACTTAGGGTGAAGGGGGGAACATGAAATGACATGCAAAAAAAGTCCTGACTTAAATAGAAAGTGAATATACTGAATGCATCTTAGGCCAGACCAGCAACTTCAGAACCTTTTGTCTTTATGGTACAATGTGTGCCTCGAGTCTTTGTTCCAGAACACTGTGGATTTTAGAGCAATGTGTGTTGATTTTCTGCATTTTCATTTTCTTGTCTTCTGTTTCTGCCAGACACTGCAGCTATCTTGAAGGCTCAGGAGTCCTTGTGGCCTGGTTTCTATGAGGTGGAATTTGTGGTGAGGGACCGGCAGGGACAGGCCTGTCCTGATCCACAGAAAGTACAGATAGAAGTTTGTACCTGTGCAGATGGAGTGGTGTGTGAACAACAAACTGTCAGTGGCCATTCCAGCAAGGGGGTGGAGTTAGGACCTGCAGCCATTGGACTGCTGCTTCTGGGTCTGCTGCTGTTACTAAGTAAGTGTGATTCAGTTAATTCAGTTTTATTTATATAGTGCCAATTCATGCCATATGTCATCTCAAGGCACTCTACATACAGTTGAAATCAGAAGTTTACATACACTGTATAAAAAAGACACATAACCTTTCACAAGCTTCTCACAATAGTTTGATAGAATTTTGGCCCATTCCTCCTGACAGAACTGGTGGAACTGAGTCAGGTTTGTTGGCCACTTTGCTCACACACGCCTTTTCAGCTCTGTCTACAAAGTTTCTACAGGATTGAGATCAGGATGATGGCCACTCCAAAACATTGACTATGTTGTCCTGATGCCTCTTTGTAACTAATCTGGTGGTATGCTTAGGGTCATTGTCCATCTGAAGACCCATTTGCATCCAAGCTTTATCTTCCTGGCTGATGTCTTGAGATGTTGCTTCAATATTTCTACAGGTTCTTTCCCCATTATGTCATCTATTTTGTGAAGTGCACCAGTCCCTCCTGCAGCAAAACACCCCCACAACATGATGCTGCCACCCCCATACTTCACAGTTGGGATGGTGTTCTCAGGCTTACAAGTTTCCCAGTTTTTCTTCCAAATGTAACGATGGCCATTATGGCCAAACAGTTACATTTTAGCTACATCAGACCACAGGACACGTCCATTTACAAACCTCAAACCCCCCAAAACATCCTTTCAATTGATGGAATAAGAAAAGTGTCCAAAATGTCAGTGTAAACTTGTGCATTTATTGAAGATGTAATGACTGCCATCTCCCCAGTGCCTTTACCTGACATGCAGCCACATATGGAAATTTGCATGTTTTCTTCAGGCAGTCATCTTCACAAATCTCATTGGAACGGCACCAAACAAAAGTTCCAGCATCATCACCTTGCCCAATGCAGATTGACGATTCATCACGACTTTCATCCAGTCATTCACAGTCCACAATTGCTTTTCCTTAGCCCACTGTAACCTTGTTTTTTTCTGTTTAGGTGTTAATGATGGCTTTCGTTTAGCTTTTCTGGATGTAAATCCCATTTCCTTTAGGCGATTTCTTACAGTCGGTCACAGACGTTGACTCCAGTTTCTGCCCATTTGTTCCTCATTTGTTTTGCTGTGCATTTTCTGTTTTCAAGACACATTGCTTTAAGTTTTCTGTCTTGACGCTTGATGTCTTCCTTGGTCTACCAGTATGCTTGCCTTCTATAACCTTCCCATGTTGTTTGTACTTTGTCCAGATTTTAGAGACAGCTGACTGTGAACAACCAACATCTTTGATAACAATCCGTGATGATTTACCTTCTTTAAGAAGGTTGATAATCCTCTCCTTTGTTTCAACTGACATCTCTCTTATTGGAGCCATGATTCATGTCAATCCACTTGGTGCAACAGCTCTCCAAGGTGTGAGCACTCGTTTTTAACTGCAGACTAATGAGCAGATTTAATCTGATGCAGGTGTTAGTTTTGGAAATTGAAATTTACAGGATTGCCCGGCAAGCCCTGCCGCCAAAACACCAGGACCCTGGAATTGGCATCCCAATAATAGTGTCTAAATGATGGCAGACCCAGTCCTCCCACTGATTTGGGCTTATGTAGGTGAATTTTGGAAATTCTATGATTTTTATAGTTCCAAACATAGGATAAAATTGTTGAGACAAATTCCTTAAAGAATGCTGATGTTAGAAAGATGGGTACATTGACAAAGATATAAGAATCTGGGGAGGGAGACCATCTTGACTGAATTTATACGGCTGATCATAGAGAGTGGTAAGGCTTTTCATTTTATGATGCACTATTATAAATTTGACACAAATTCACCAAAATTCAGTTTGAAAATTAATTTCGGGGTTTTTGAGTATGGTCAGGCCGAGGTAATTGAGGGGATCTTTAACGATCTTGAATGGGGTATTTTCTCAAGTCTTGTGTGTAGTTATTGAAGAGAGGCATGAATTCACTTTTTATCCAGTTTATGGTGTAACCTGATAGTCTGCCAAAAAGGGTGATTGTGTCCAGGAAGCAGGGGATTGAGTCCTCAGAGTTTTGCCAGTATAGTATGACATCGTCTGCATACAAGCTAATAAAAGTTTCCACCCCGCCTACTTTTAAGCCAACAATGTTCGGGTGACTTCTTTTGCTGTGAGCAAGAGGGCCAGTGAGAGGAGGCAGCCTTGCTGGACGGAGCAGTGAAGAGGGAATGAAGTTGATTTGTTGCTGTTTGTTAAAACAGAGCACACTGGGGTCGCATATATTAGTCTTACCCAGGATATGAATGAATCGCCAAATCCAAACCTACATAGTGACTCAAACATATAGGGCCACTCAACCTGATCAAAGGCCTTCTGCATGTCGATGGATAGAATAGCTGCTCACCTGGTATTACTGTGGTCAGCATAAATAGTATTTTGGAGGAGCTTTACATTAGAAAAAGAGAACCTGCCTGGGATGAACCCTGTTTGGTCGAAATGATAGATGACAAATGTCTCTTTAGCTGGTTAGCCAGCAATTTAGTGATTACCTTTCTATCAAGATTCTGGAGTGCGATGGGCCTGTAGCTAGCTGGGTCTGTGCCATCTCTGCCCTTCTTTAAAATCAGTGATATGTTAGCTTCATATAACATTTTCGGTAGGGCATCATTGTTCTTGGAGCTGATTGCCATCCTCATAAGAAATGGGGCAAGGATGTCATGAAACCATTTGTAAAATTCACAGCCAAGGCCATCTGGCCCTGCGGGTTACCTGATGGAAATGATTTTATGGCAAATGTTATCTCATCCACAGTGAAATCAGAATCTAGGTCTCTCCTGGCCACATCATCAAGTTTAGGCAATATGAGAGAGTCAAAAAAGTTGCTTATATCTAAGTGAGAAGGGCAGGATTTAGAGGCGTAGAGCTCACTGTAATATTCTTTAAAGCCACTGTTAATGTCTTTGGGGTCAGTCAGCAGCGAGCCCAATTTAGATTTAATCAGTGAATTGACCTTGAGGCCTGGGCGCCTCTGAGTTGACGCGCAAGGAGTCTTTCAGGTTTATCGGCTGTCTCAAAGTGCTTTTGCCTCAGCTTTAGGAGTAGGTTATTTATTTGGCCACCCAAAATCCAGTTATACTCACACTTAAGCTTTGCAATCTTATTGTAGTCCTCAGCAGAGTTTGACGTTTGGTGCACCATTTCGAGGTTGGAGAGTGAATCCTCGATCTTTCGCAAGCGTTTCTCTCTCTCTTTTTTGGCAGCGGACTCATATGAAATTACTTATCCACGGGTAACTACTTTTAAGGTCTCCCAGAGGGTGGTGTCTGGCACCTCGCCATTATCATTGATTTCTATGAAATCCTTTAATCGACTACTAATATAATCAGTGAATTTGTTGTCAGAGAGCAGTGATGGATTGAAATGTCAGGAGTAAGCTTGCTTGGAGAGGGAGAGATTTAGGGACATTGTCAGGGGACTGTGGTCCGAAATCTAGATGTTATGGTATTTTGAACTGGTGACGTTTGAGATTAGAGGAGAGTCGACCAAAATGTAGTCTCTCCTGCTGTAGGATTTGTGAGCATGGGAGTAGAAAGAGTAGTCTTTTTGGGTTGGGTGCTGAATCTTCCAAATGTCAACTAAATTTTTGGATTTGATAATATTGTTCAGGACCTGTACAGATGTTATATTTGGAGGTGGACTGGAAGCTAGTTTCTCGATTTAAGGGTCTAGGCAGCAGTTCAAATCACCGCCAATTATTATACTTGAATTTTCTCCATCCGGGAGTATATCTGTCATGTCTGTCAAGTTTCTGTTTTGTGTGCACATTTTATGTCTTGTCTTTCCTGTTTTATTTTGAAATCACTAAACCGGTTATCTCTGTTCTAAATTCACTTCCTGCACTTGTCTTGTCACACCTGCTCCCTGATGGCTTTCCCTCACCTGTTTCCCATCTCCCCTCATTACCTCGTGTATATTACCTTGTGTGTCTCACTGTCTCGTCGCCAGTTCGTCACACTGTCTCAGTCTTCGTACCAGTGTTTCCATAGCCATAGTCATAGTCTGTTTTGTTACGACCTCGCTTCTGTTTTTTGACCTCGCCTTTTTGCCTCTCGCTTTTTGGATACCTCTGCCTGATTTGATTGACCTTCTGTGTACCGAACCCTGACCGGTAATAAACCTGCCCTTTTGCCTGAACCTTTTCTGTGTCGAGCATTTGTGTCTGCCTGAGTGAGTTCTTGATAGCATCAAAAACTTTACTGAAAAAATTGGGGTCATCTATGTTTGGGCCGTAGATATTGAGGAGTGTTCGCGGGAATGAATTTATGGTACCTGAGACCATTACATATCTGCTGTGACGGTCTGCAGTCACGGAGGAGAGTTGGAACAGGATTTTTTTCTCAAAGAGAATAGCTACTCCTCGTGCATGGGAAGTGAATGACGACTGATAAACCTGCAATATCCAGTTGCACCTCAGTCTGCATTGCTCGGTTGGTTTGATGTGAGTTTCTTGTAAGAAAATTACATCAGCAGAGAGAGATTTAAAATGTCTTAAAACCTTATCTCCTCTAACAACGTGGCCAAGTCCTTCAACGTTCCAGGAAACAATCGTGATATCCCTGCTCCCTAATTGCACTGTGCCACGAGACCTCTGCATGTCAAAACAAAGCAAGCAAGACTGTAAATAAAAACAACATACCTGAGCCATAGGTAGAACTATACCTCCCTCCCACCCCCTTGAGTCTCCCAGAACCTGACACAAATTCCCCCCTTTCCATCCAAATCGGAGCTGCTGGGCAGGTATCTAACACTACCAACCCAAGCTGCCCTCACCATGGGAGGCTGAGATATAAAACCAAGTGTTACCGCTAGAATAGTTCATGAGGGCTGGGGGGAGGTAGGCTATGGCCGCACTTGCAATAATGCACTTGGAGCAAAATGTCTTCTTTAACTTGGCATTAGTGTGGCACAGGAAATTTTGAACAAAATAACACAAGCATCCTCCCCCTCTCGCCCTAGCATGTAAACAAGTACAACTTTAAGTTGAACAGCTGATATAGGTGTGTGGATCGACTCCCCTTCTGTTGATGCTGCCGTCACGCTGATAAATGTGCAGCCTGGCCGGATACCGCAAGGTGTGTTTGATTCCTCCTTCGCCTAACAGTTGCATCATGTCTCAAAAGGCTCGGCGTTGCATCATCACCTCGCTGGTGTAGTCAGGGAAAATCAAAACTTTGTTGCCCTTGTACTCCATGTCACCCAGTCTGCCGTGGCGCAGAATTGACTCTTTCGCTTGGAAGTGATGGATATGTGCTATGGTGCATGGCTTGTTACCGGCTGCCGGGTTCAGCTGGAGATGAGCAGTGTGCCCTGTCTACTTTGATCGGGTGTGGGAAGTTTTGTTCCCCCAGCAGCTTAGATATAAGACTGGAAACAAATTCCATGGGTTTACTATTCTCCTCGTCCTCTGGTATCCCCACGATGTTGATGTTGTGTCTCTGGGAGTAAGCTTCTAGGTCTAGCACTTTGGCATGGAGTAGTTTGTTTTGGGTAGTTAGATTGAGCACTTACCTTCTAGCTCCTGCAGACATGCTTCGTGGTCCTTGGTCACCGGCTCTTGATTAGCCGCACAGGCCTGGAGTTCGGCTTGCATCGTTGTGAGTGTCTGGAGGCTGGCTTGAAATGCATCAAAACGCTCATTGATAACTCAACATAGCTTGGCATAGTTCGGCGGCTTCTCCGAGCTGGTGGGAGGGTTGACGGGTCCGTCATCAGCCTTGACGTTAACCTTAGCATTTACAAAGGCTCTGGTGACTTGGTTGTCGGCGGCTTGTACCTTGTTGGAAACTTGAGACTTTGGCATTGCGGTTCATTCACTTGCTGATAAAGGGAGCAGTCACGCTTTGTTGGCCTGTAAGCTGATGTTTGCTGTATTATTGAAGTTTTGTTGAGGCCACGTTGCGAAGCATCTCCAAAACACGTCTACTCCATCACATGCACTCAGGCGCCCCACTGGCCCACTCTTCTTTGTAGAATTGTTTTAATTCAGCAACACTGGAGGGTTTTCGAGCATGAACAACCTTTTTAAGGTCATGCCACAGAATTTCAATCAGATTCAAGTCTGGACTTTGACTAGGCCACTCAAAAACCTTCATTTTGTTTTACTAAGCCATTCAGAAGTTGATTGCTGATGTGTTTTTGATTGTTGTCCTGCTGCAGAACCCAAGTGCGCTTCAGCTTGAGGTCATGAACTGATGGACAAACATTCTCCTTCAGGATTTTTTGGTAGAAGATTTTTTGGTAGCAGAATTCATGGTTCCATCAATCACAGCAAGTCGTCCAGGTCCTGAAGCAGCAAAGCAGCCCCAGACTATCACACTACCAGCACCATGTTTGACTGTTGGTCATGCCATGGATGCCATTTTTGCCCAGTCTCTTCCTCATTGTTGAGTCTTTTATTTATTTATTTATTTATTGCTATGGCGCCGTGAGTGGGAGCCAGTTGCAGCAGCTCCTTTTTACTTTGTGTGTTTTTAGCTATTTACTTTGATTTTTCTTCGTTCTTTTTAAGATTTTAATTTCACACAGCTGTACCGCATTTGTGCGGGAACAGTGGAGATGCAGATGGCATTTTTGTTGGTCTGTTCTTCGCTTTTTTTGAGAGTTTGGGTGTGGTCAGTGAAATTGAACTCTGCCTAGCTTTCCAGAAAATGTGATTAGCCACAGTAAATTTGTGATTCAACAAGGGAGGCAGTTACTTTTTCACACTGGGCCAGGTGGGTTTGGATAGCTTTTTTTTTTTTCCCTTAAAGCATTAAATCATCATTTAAAAACTGTATTTTATGTTTACTTTAGTTATCTTTGTCTAGAATTTAAATTAGTTTGGTGTTGGTTTTGTATGATCTTAAACATTTAAGTGGGGGAAATGTAAAAAAAAAAAAAAAAAAAAAGAATTCAAGAAGGGGGGGAAATCCTTTTTTCCAGCACTGTACCTACATTGTATAATGCAAGCTAAACTGAAACTGCACCTCCTAATCTGGGAATTCTAGAGGATCAACCCATGCCCTGTTTTTTTTTTTTTTTTTACAGTCATCCCTCTGTTGATGCTCCTCTGCCAGTGTGGGGGCATTTCCGGTTTTCCAGATCTGTTTGCTGAGATGCCTTTTGACACCAAGACACACCTCATTAACTACCACACTGAGCGCCTGGGAGAGAACACGGTGAGAAAAATATATTTAAACACCTGACCTTTACTATTGAGAGCAGCAATACTGGCATACCAGGACTCCAAACTGACTATTTCACTGGTAGCACTGGAGCTACCCACTTTCTCGGTTGGTCATAACAACACAGGATTTGGTCGTGCAGGCTAAGGTAGATGCAGATAGGTGTGTGACCAAACATTTATTGGAAAAGAATGAAGTAGCAGGCACAGGGACAGACTTACTGAACGTTAAGAAGAAAATATATGATTCTAAAACACAATGGCTAGCACAGAAGCTGCCCAAGCAGCATGCACGGAGGGGCTCCAAATCACCCTAACAATCATCATGAATTCGCACAAATGTGACCAGGTGAAGTTTTAACTCACAGATTCTCAATAAAAGGTTGTACATGTGACAATTCTGGTCACAATATGGAGCCCTGCATGCATAGCATCCACATGCTGTTAAGATGATGTCTGTTTAAAAGCTACATTAAGGGATTTTTTACCACATTAGAAAAATGTTGACTCTCTTGTAACTTTTGGATCTGTGGCCAATTGTAGGAGGTACCACTACTGAACATGCCAACACAAGTGGACGGAAATATGGTAACCATGGGTGCTGCAAAGAAAACAGCAATGGCACCTGTGGCAGGCTTGGATTTCCATCAGTCCATCACCTCTGTGAATGGCATGAATGGGGGCACCTTTCAAGAGGGTTTTTTAAGCACCCACAGAGAAGGAATGTGGGGGATGAATCAGCAGGATGGCAGTGGATTCTTCTCTGATTTTGAGAGCAGAGAATCAGGAGGAGGTGGAGAAATTTATGACCTCATAGCTCTGCCGGACCACTTACTGGAACAGTACTACAATCAGGTAAGACAGCTCACTTGCCAGTCAAAGCAAAATATGAGAGTGGCATTAATTCTAAACACCTGTTTTCAAGACAAACACACAATTTATATGTACAAAATTGACTCACCAAAATAGATAACCATGGTGTTGTGTTTGTTTGTTTGTTTGTTTGTTTGTTTGTTTGTTTGTTTGTTTGTTTGTTTCAATAAAAGGCCACCAGTGGAAATGACAACCTTAGATTCAAGGATGATCTTTTGATGTATGACTATGAGGGCAAGGGCTCCTCTGCAGACTCAGTGGGCTGCTGCAGCCTTTTAGAATCTGAAAATGACCTGCAGTTCCTCGATGACCTTGGACCGAAATTTAAGACTCTTGCTGAGGTGTGTGGAGGCACAAAGATCTCAACTGAGGTCAAACAAGTGTGCTCTCCTCCACCCAGCTCCTCTATCCCCAGTACCCAGGCTTCAGTATCAAATTTGGTGATGGCCCAACAGCTGCCCCCTTCACCGAAACTGCAACCAACTATCCCCAAAACAGAGCAAGCTGTGGTCAGGAAGACAGCTGAGGGCTCTCAGTTGGTGATGGAAAGCATGGCCACAGTGAGAGAAGGGATGACCACAGTCAAAACACTGAAGGAGAGGATGGCCACAGACAAAACAGGCCTGGAAGGGAAAACAGGAATGGTAAATCAGATGCTTCTATTGCAGCAGCAGCAGCAGCAGCCTGTCTACTATACCACCACCCCTGTGTTGCAGCCGATGCACTATGTTGTCCAGCCACAAGTTCAGAACACCATGCTGGTGACTGAAGTACCAGCTACCAACCTTCCAGGTATGGTACTGGTGGACAATAATGAGATCCATGGGAGCTGTGCCAACCTAATCCACACTGGAAACTTCTCTGGTGTCCATAGGAGCTGTGCCAACCTGATCCACACTGGAAACGTTTCTAATGTCCACGGGAGTTGTGCCAGCCTGATCCACACTGGAAACTTTTCTAATGTCCACGGGAGTTGTGCCAACCTGATCCACACTGGAAACTTCCCCGATGTCCACAGGAGCTGTGCCAACCTGGCTCACACTGGAACCTTCTCTGATGTCTCCAGTTGCTGTGCCAACTTGATTGATACCAGGAACGTCTCTGATGTTCATAGGAGCTGTGCCAACCTGATCTACTCTGGAAACCTACCTGGTGTCCATGGGAGCTGTGCCAATCTAATCCACAATGGAAACTTTTATGGTGCCCAGCCCATGATGGTTGTTGAGGGCAAGGCCCCTGCAGGGTCAATGAAAGTGCGAAAGGGGAGCCAAACCTGCCTTATTCAAGGAGGTACTCTACAGTGTGCAGAGCTTTCAGGATCTCAGAGAGTCAAGGTGGTCAGAGAACCAACAAGCAGCAGAGGGAAGGTGGTTGAGCAGGCAGGTCTATCCCAGAAGAGGTCTTCAGCTTACAAAGAGTTCCCTCCAGCAAGGGAAGGCCATCCATTGTCTGTCAGAGCAGCAAGTATGCCTTTTCTACCACCAGCGTGAGCACAATCACCACCTACCTCAAGGTGGTAATGCAGAAGAAATGTAGTGAATCCGAATGTGTAAAAAGACCCATTTAATGCAGTTCAAACTTTTGGCAAGGCAATCTTTTTATTCGGTTTTGTGACAGACACTCTCCATGTGCATGTTTGTTTATTTGTGGAGGATGTGCTGCTGCATATTTACACTACAGCTTCCACTTGACACGAACATTCAGTTAAACAGCCTCTCATGATATATGAATATATATATTTATATATTCTCTCAACATATGAAGCATTAGTTATAAGCATTCAACAAATATTACATTAAATAAGCATTATTTGTGAACTGGCACAACATTTTTAAATTGTACCGACCATTAATGTAACTGATAAACTGACCTTTCTAGGACCAGCATTAGGTCAAGATTTTAATGTGTCCAATACAAATTTAAACATATTCTAGTCAGCCTCAGCTGTACTTTCTATTTACTGCCTATTAAGATATGGTAGTATGTTAACACACTGACCAAATGCTGATGACAAAGCTCAACATGCCAACATTTTTGCGATCAGGTTAGCAGGGTAATTTTACCAAATGCCTCTGAGTAAATAGGAGTGATTGTCACAGTAGTTGCCGCGTGGCGATACCAGTGTTTTGCAATTTGAATAGCCAAAAGCAGGCCCCAACCCATCACGGCTCCAGACCACCACAAATCCTACCAGTCAGCAGAAAGCAGATTTTATAACCCCTAACCTCCAAACCCTCCACCTTAATATCATCATGTAACTAAATAGAGCATATTGAGCTTTAATTACAGGAAAATGTTAGCAAAAATGTGACAGGGCACAGAAGGTAGAGAAGTTTTGCACCTAGTATAAAAAGGGTTGGTAATTGTCCCAGTACCAATAATCCACCTGTGAAGCAGATGTTTCATTTCATTAAAAATGGTTCCCTTTTTGTCTTTTTGTTGTTGGTGGTGGTGGTTTAAACAAAACAAAAATATCATCCTCTTTTCTTGCTTTTTCACTGTTGGTTTAAAATGGAAAAACAAAAAAAATGAGTCTGTTTTTTTATTGTTTGTTTTTCATTATTGGTATATAAAGAAAAAACTAAAAGTTAAAGTAAACTATATGCATGTTCTATAAAAACTGGATGATGAAAAACTGATCAAATTAGACTCTTTCCCATGGCGGTAGAGTCTATCCAACTGTAAAGAAATATATTTCCTTGCATTTGCACGACAGTGAGCACAATTCCTATATTATACAGAAATGTGGAAACTAACACTTCCCACATGACATTGTAAAAATGCTGTCCAGTCGTTCAGTGTGCCCCAAAATCCAAAGAAAAGCATGTATTTTATTGACCTAATGCAATTTATGTAAAATAATTAATTAGCTAATTTGATTCAACCATTTGACTAATTTTAGCTGAATGCGAGAGTTTCTCTTGCTGTCTTTTCCTTTGCTTCTGTTCCACATCTGTCAACCTCACTTCAGCTGTGTCTGTTTCACCAAAAAGGTTTTCTTAGGTCCCAGAGATAATTATTGAACCAAAAAGTGGTAATGCTACAAAGAAAACAGGGCTGGCGTGTGTTGCTAAATCAAAAAGCTAAATAAAACCAAACTAACAGATATTCAAACTTGCTAAGACAAAACAACAAAAGAAAACAACTAAACCTTATAGCCAAACATAAGACAAACAATAGCAACACCCCTGTACTTAACATAAAGTAATTAAGAAATGAGTGCAGGTTAAGCAAACAAGCTCAACAAACGAATGCCTCAGAATGAGTGACCATTTTTTAATGGCAACAGGAAACACAAAAAACACAGGACATGTGACTCCTAACTTAGCTACAAAGGAACTCACTGTGAGCTGGGCTTCGAGGGAAGAACTCGGTGGTGGAGAACAACAAAGGCTGGAGTGCAGGGCCAGAGTTCCAGGTCTAGAGAAGTGCTCCTTAGCCAGCCATCTTTCCACACGGAGGCTGCAAAGGGGGCAATACAAGAAGAAAAGCACACAGCCACCAGGGGCTGTAACAGCAGAGCAGACCTGTTTGTTTAAACACACAAAGACACACAAAGAACAACGCAAAATAGACAGCAAAGCACAGACAGGACCAGATAGCAAATGAGTTGACAACAACTCATTACGGCCATTTATTGTATATTACAATGCTAGCGTGGGCAAATTGGTTGGCTGGATTTTTTTTTGTTAACTCTTGTGTACACAACTTTTGTAGTTTTAAATGAAATGGGAAGGTTGTGTGGTGTAGTGTGTTCAGTTAGTTCTAACCCCTTTGTTTGGGTTTGAGATGCTGATGGTTTCGCCACATCTAGTGGTTCAGTGTCACACACAGCGTCTTTAATGAGAGCTGTGCAATTAACCTTGACTTACTGGCTGTCTTGCTTTATGGGAAGTTTGTAAAATGTGCTGTTTGTTAAACTGCCAAGTTAAGCACACGAAGCAATTGGAATATCCATTTATTGCTTACTTGCACTTGCTCTTCGCTTTGCTGTGGGCTAACTTGATTTAAACAAGTTTGATCTATTTTTATACTGTTTGAATGTTAATAACTGTAGCTGAAATAACTCCAGTAAACATGAGAAAGAAAAAAAAAGGTTTATCACTGGTCACTGTTATGTTTTCTCTGTACACTAAATCTTGTGGCAGTTATGCATTTCAACAGTCGTGGTTGCATCGCATTCCTCATTTTTTGGCTATGATGTAGATGCATGTGCTGGAATACATTTTGACCTAATGTCATATTGTCAGTTGAAGGGATGACTTATAGAAAGTATTAATGCTCACTTCAATAAATTCATTGCATGGGACATTTCAGGTCAAGTGTTTTATGTTCATTTGTGTCTGCATGAGGACATGGTAATGTATCTCACCTGAAGGAATGCAAAAGGTCAGCACAGAGCATTCACATCATATTATACCATATAATTCTGTTTCTCAATATTAACTTAAAAATGTCATAATCTGACATTATAAATACTTGTCTAAATGTAATATACAGTATGGTAGGTCCTCTTGGACATTTAGAACATTATAGTTGTGAAGAAGTGTATTACAAGATCTGTACACTTGTCATTATAGATTATTCAGATGACATTTTTGGATAATGTGGACACTGTAACACATAACAACACAAGGTCTGCAACAATTTAGGAGGTACATGTCAAAGTAACACCTACATGAATGCCAGGACCCAAGGCAACTTGTCTGTAAACTCTTAGTTAAAAAAAAAAAAAGTTTAACAGCGTTTTAGTTCTACATGTATTTTCTCACAAATGGCCATTTCTGACGTAGGTTACCAAATGTGAAATGCCTCAGGCAACGTGACTTCAAACTGATTTTGTGTTCATATTTATCCTGTTTGCAATATTTGTAAAGTGAAACCTTTAAGAAATACTACTGTTGTGCAGTTTCATGTCTAAAATAAGTTCAGTATCAGTAAGAGGAGGCCATTTTTGACAGAGAGGGTTTCTTGTGAATTTCCCCAAAGCAATAGTGATGGGAAGTTCAGCTCTTTTCAAAGAGCCGGCTCTTGTGGCACGGCTCCAAAAGAAGAGCCGGCTCTTTCGACTCCGAAACGGCTCTTAATTTATTATCATGTGTAGCCTCATATTTTAGGCTAACTTGGCAAATATGAATGCTTTGTGTGTTGATAAACCCCTTTTGAATTTAATGTTTTTATGAGAAGCCTTATCATGGCTTAATTTTGTGTATTTTTATGTTGCAAAAGCAGGCATTTTTACTGTTGTTTAATATTTTTATCAAACTTTTAATCTTAGTTGAACATAAACACAAATGAACAAAACACTGAAAACAAACTCACAGAACAGAACCAGAACAGAAAGAACAAAACTCAGTTCAAACACCAAACTGTATGTCCTTAGTACAGGTTTGCATTGCTGCCAATCAAAATAATAAAGTTCTGCTGTGAGCTGAGCTGAGCCACTGAGCAGC